TATATATCGTATATATATATATATACATATATGTATATATAGAGCTCAGATTATCCTCCGACCGACATTTAACCGATTTAAGCCGACCGTAAGCGAAATGGTTGAAATTTATTTCGCTTATGGACTTACTCTACGCCCTATTACATCCCCAGTTACAAATGATTGATCAATCTCAACTATTTCTGGCTGGGCTGGAAAACCAGCTTACTCCCGACGTGTCTACAGCCTCTATTGCTACTGTTCATTGTGGACAATTGTTTACATCTTACGTTTTTCTATATGCCATCGTCTTAAGAGAGTGAAATATTCATCTCCCACGGTAAAAGCCATTAAGTTATTTGGTATAGCCATTAAGATTCATTCTATATATGTATATATGCATCTTGCGGATGTACCTGTTAACCGGTGCGCTCTCGTGATTTCCTAAAGCTGGAAAAATTGGTATTCCGGGAAACATCTTAACCATTTGCGCAACCGTATCATGCAAGATTTTTAGATTTTCTTCTCGCGTTTGGTTCCAGATATCATGAGCAGGCAAATCCCCGGTCCACAAAATATAATCAATGTCCTGGAAATTTTTTAAACGATAAAGAGAGATTTTCTCTATTTCTTAATATGAAACGGAGAAATCAAACAATTAAGGATAATCGAAAAATCTATGAGGGTAATCCGGAGATGATTGAAATTTTTTCTTTTATGCATAAGAAATAATTAATAGTGAATTAAAATGAAAGTTAACAAGTTAATTTGAGATTATATTATAATCAATAAATCAGTTACTTTTTCATTAATTATTATTGTCGAAATATTGTTAAAAATTCTTTTCGACCAGCGAGGTTTACTTTAGAATGATAAACGTCTCTTCCTTTTCATCGTTATTTCTTAAAGCTTAATTTATAATACATTTTTTGTTTCCTATTTTTTGTTTTTGTCTCTTACCTTTTTATTTCTTCACGCATTATTTTATTGATAATCGTGTTTCTTGTCTCTTCAGAAGTTTGTCAACTTTTAAATCTAAGTTGCGTTCCATTTCACGCATAGTGCACATAATATACCATTTTATCCTTGATGTTTATCGAATATTAAAAAAAGATAAAATGATATATGTTTGCTGTGACATTCACAACGCTTTAAGCGTCGTTTCATCCTTTGTTGAGTAAATATTAAACAAGAACAAACAATGCTCGCGTAAGTGGAATGCAGCCAAGAACATACAAGAAACACGAAAACAAAACGCAGAGGGCACAAAACAAGAAACAAAAAAATATGTTGTAGATTAGGCTTAGATCGACAGGAGTAACGAATCAATTCATTTACTGCATTCTCTTTCGTTCGCGCACGTATATAAAGTATATTTTTGAGAGAGTGTACTTCTGATAAGGGAAGTTTCACAACTGTTCAGAACCGATTTGATTCTCCATGAAATATGTTGTTAAACACGAAAATCTAAGAAACATATATTTTTTATACGGGCTCTAACTCACGTTTAAGGAGTAAAACTCCTTTGAAAAAAAAACGGTATTTTTCTTAGGCGAATATCGTCGGAAGTATAAAAAATAGAAAATAATTTTTTAAATAAAAGTTATACGGTTTTAAGAGTACTTTAAAGTTATAAAGAAAGAAAAATCTTTTTATTTTTTTGTTTAACAAAATACCCCCACTACCCATAATTTTTTTAAATTTTTATTTTTTTTTTATTAAATTAAGGATTATTTTTTTACAAATTCAACTCCTACTATTTCCTGTGTAATAAAATTACATTATGACATATCATTTTTGAGAAGTAATTATTAATGCTTCCGTATATACGCTACCCGTGCTAATATGCGTAAGTAATTGTCGTCGGAACAATAAAATACATAAATCAACGAATAAGGAAATTGACATAATTGATATTTGTAACATTACAAATTATAAATAATGTTAAGAGTTATAATAATTTTTATTATTTCTCCTTAAAATGAGAGTAAAACTTTTTTATTCATTTTTATATATTATTCATTGCCAGTGCTGAAAATCTATAGTACACGTAATTTACACTATACGAATACATTTGATTGTGATTGATCAATTCTTACAACTACAACCTAATTTGACAAACAATTACGCTTACGCAATTATAAGATTTGTTCATGGCGCACACTCCACATGTTCCTCTCTTACTCACTCACGTACATTAGAATGAGTAGAAGCTATGATAGGGGTATATTGAAACATGTTGGAGCATACAACGCGACAAACCTAGAATAGGTTTTAATCATTCGCATGTGCTACTCACCGAATGTGTGTCGGCGATGTGCTTGAGCATATGATCGATCGTTCTCTTCGGCGTATCACATTTTCTATAATCGCCCCATCGTCCGGCAGCGGCAAAGGCAGTCAACGGAGCGCCGTTTGTTAGCCGACAGCAGAGCGGCTCGTTGCACTCTGCATTTGCACCCTCGTGATAATAGGGATCGTAGTGCGTATCAGAAATGTGCAGGACCTTGAATGTCGGCGCGCCTTCCTGTGGCGGAATCGGCGGCTTGATCGGCGGTTTTTTAACCGGTGGAAAGGCCACCTCCCATTCATGCAATGGGTTAAAAGCATCATCGCACGCATCGCCGATCACGAAGCTGCAGATCTGCGCCGGACCCATGTTAACCTGTTTCAGGACATAAATCACCTCTCCCTATGGCAAAAATTTTGTTATTTTTAATCTTCGTTATTTATGTAAAAGCGTAAATATTGTAACTGGGTGTTTGGAAAATAATGATGAATCTTTCGCATAGGGGCAGAATGAACTAAACTGACAAGAAAAGTTCTCTATCATTTTACAATTTTCGCAATAGAAGATATTAATTACTAAAAATTGTTGAAAATTGGTCTTCAATAATGTTTTACTCAAATACTATTAACTTTACAGAAAAACTGTAAGAGATGAAAATTGTTTATTTTTTTCTCATAAAACTACAAATTTTTTCAGAATTTTTTATCAACTTTTTAGTATTGCATTTTTCATTTTTAACATGATTAAGTATTAAACAGTATTAAAACATTCTGAAAAAATTCTTAAAGCTCTATATATTATATGTAAGAAGAAAATAAACAATTTTTGTCTCTTGCAATTTTTCTGTAAAGTTGATATACTTGAGTAAAAACTTAATGAAGATCAAATAATATCTTTTCGACAATTTTTAACAATTAATATCTTATTAACTATTGCGAATATTGCAAAATAGTAGAGGACTTTTCTTTTCAGTTTAGTCCATTCTGCTCCTATGCCAAAAATTTATCATTATTTTTCAAACACCCTATATACAATGTAACATATAATAGTATAGAAATAAATACAAGGTGGGTCATTATCATAATTTGCACATCTCGAAGAATTTGTAAATTATAAGTTGTAGGAAAAATTGTTATATACAAAAGTTGCATGACTTCGAGGCGGTCGTTACATAGTGTATAAATTTTTTTATAAGTGAAAGCGTTTAAAAAATTTCGAGATTAACCTAGTTTTTTAAAATGAAATGATGAGTATAAGCTATGATTAAAGTCTCGCTACAAATGTTTTGAAGCATTTGATGGACCAATTAGAAGAAAGAATTTTACAAACTGACCATTTAAAAAACGCTTCAAAGCGTTTGCAGCATCGCGTTGACTGTACCCATAATTAGGAGACATGATAGGTCTCGGCATTAAGCCAAGCGCAGTGACACTACAGTACTCCTTTACGCGAGTTGCGGGAGATAGAGATTATTGGGATCTCAATAACGGCTGAACCGATCAAATTCTACATACGCTCAACTCGATAGTTTTTTTACGTAATATAATTCCTCCAATAATTGGTGGAGCTTTTAGTTACTTTACTGGCACATGATTCATTTACAATACATGGAATATTAAATATCTCGTAAATTATTAATGTTTTGACAATAATTATTATTTTTATGCACAGAATAATGAAATAAATTGATATAAAAAAGAGGGAGGGAACACTGGGAATAAAATGATAGAGAGAAAAACTAGTTTTTTAGCCTACTTGCTGAGATATCTCAATGGTAATTAATTGAATTATATTTTGCGTCTCAAAGAACACGTTGCAGGCAATAGATACCATTTTCTCTAAGTTATTAGTATGATAATGTACAACATGATATTGTGTAGCATCAGTTTTCAATATCCACTATGTATTTTTGTGAGCGCCACCTGCTAATTGCTATATCCGTAGATTAGAATCTATGTAGTTTATACATTCTGTAATAATCTTTTCGAATTCATGCAACTCTTTTTTATATAATAATATTTTATACTTACAATTTAAGTTTTTCGAGATGTATAAGTTAATTACAATGTCTCACCCTATATTTGTATATTCAGGCTTTACCCCAAAGAGCATGGTTACTCCGTGACAAACTCGGGGACTCTGTATGTTGAGCGATACGCAGAATTGATAAATGCTAGCCATGATCTCTTCGTCATTCTTGCCGTTCTTTATGTAGTGCTGCAGCAAACCAGCTCCAACTTTACAAGCAGTACAAGAGACCTTGGACATAACAGAGGTTTCGACCTCCATCATCACTTGTCTTAGATCTAGCAGCTTAAGAGCTTTGTCCACAAATCCAGTTAGGTGTCCGTTTGGTTGGACCGTTTCCATGTCCCATAACATCCGCGAATAATTTAACTGTAATCAAATGGATACAAGTTGAAAATTAATCAGCGTGCATCCACGGTGTTATATCGTTTCATAACGTAGAATAGATATTAAAACAAGTTTCCCCATGTCGCTTCTCACGCGCTGTCGTGTCAATCGCATGACACGATCGCAATCTTGAGATAATCGAGCGTGCACTTTTTTCAAGATCAAAGGAAGATCGCGTATAAATACCTGCTGGCATTGAGTGACGAAAAAGCATATGATTGATTTATATATTTACAGATCCATGAGGAATTAAGAGCAAGAACCATCATATTAAAGAATCTTACAACAATTGCAAAGCTGCTTTTTCTAAACGTAGCCATTTTCTTTTACGGAAGCAATGACGAATGGTATCAATGATCGCGCGCAACTTTCACGAGTGAAAGTCATTGACACTGTTTTATGCACTGTATGCGTGACATACGAATAGGAAGAATAGAAGATACATACTTGCTTTCGTATTTGTCGGAGATCGCTTTAGTGAAAGTATTTTGGTACTGAAGTAGGAGTTGCAACGACATTGTCCCGTAGGATGTCAGAGAAGCAGAGAAACAAGAAAAAGGAGAAAAAAAAGTCGAAAAAAAAAAGCGAGATTGATGAAATGCAATCGTAAGAAAGCAGATGACACTTTCGGACAAACTGTGTTTTCGCAAAATTATTATATATAATAATCTACGTGCATGGAATGGCTGTGCAATAACGACTGTGCCTAAATGGGAGAAATTCCTTTACCCGTTCCAACTGTTCCGGGCTCGTGCCATTAACGATAAAAGTTTCCGCTGTAGGCGGTAGTTCTCGGAATCTCTCATTGAATGGCAGTAAAGCGACATCCATCTTCTCGGCAGCTCTGGCTTTTGCTGCGATCCATTCGTCGGCTAACGCGGTCCAGTTGGTCGATGCTATCTCCACTTCCCGTTTCGTTCTGTAGCAAATGGGATTTCCTGCGAAAATCGGAAGAAAAAAGCGGTTGTTTAATTAAAGAGGCTGTAAAGCAAATGCAATATGTTCAAAATTATTTATTTTCGATAAATTATTTGTGTGTACCCGCACAAAAACCATACATATAACTTACAATTAGACGTAATATTAGAGTAACACATATAATATATGAAGTAATACATATAATATCAGAAGTATTATATATAATATATTAACGGTAAATATAACGTACTCTATCTCAGCAATTTTAAACATATCATTTCTATATCAAAAATATATATAAGACAATATTATACTATATTACTACAATGTAATATACGTCTTTTTTTATATATTTCAATATGTACACTCTTATCAAGAAGGTTATCACAACATAAAATACTAAAATTTTGCATATCTTCAAGTAAGCATAACTTCGTGAAAAAATCGTCGTACTTAATTAAAATTTTTTTTTATTTTTAATGGTAAAGTTTGTATTTTAAGAAGCTTTCGATAAATTTTAAATTCATCCTTACTTCTACACATTATTTTTTCTAAAGTAAAGATGTGTTACGTCTTCAAAAAATTTTATAATTTGCACTTTATGGGGTGCAATAAATTTTTTTCGCAAATGTTGTGATAATCATCGTAAAATATGAATTTTTCCTTGTAAATTAAAAAAAAATAAAATTTTATATGATTTCTTGTTGAGGAAATACGGCGTATCAAAGTTACCTATGTATTTTTGTTTAATTTCTTCCAACATTAGCATTAACCGATGCGCACCAAGAAGTTGCTGCTTAGATTTTACACATCATATGCGTATACGCACACACACACACACACGCGCGCGCGCATATAAAAGAAAGGTCCCTATTATGAGGTACCGAGTTTATTTTGGGTAAATGCTAGAAATCTATGGGCAGAATTTAAAAAAATAATAGGTCATTTTTAGTAAGGAAATTTAGTAAGTTTTAAGATAATGTTATGTAAAATTTAATTCAAATTTTATTTTTTTTATAAATTAAAGAAATGTAAAAAGTAAACAAATCGCAAAATAAAAAAATTGTGCTCCTAACATGAGATGTCCCGAGAAATTGATAATAAAACGCAAAGTATATTGCAATTAAAAAACTTTATTTAATGTTTCTAAAATACAAATAAACACACAGCCAGTGTGCGTACAAAATGCGATGCATTGTACCTAGCTGACTCGTCTTTAGATAGTTAGAACCAAGCTTCGCAGAAATAGGCACTCAATGTTTATTCTGATTGTTCTTTTTATTATTGTACAATAATATTTATACTTTAACAATTTTCACTATAACATAGAAGCATAAGTTAATTCACATTAGAAATATCTTGGGTATCTCATATTACGATTTCCACGCCTTACGATTTTACGAGCATCAAATCTAATCTCTATAATTAAGCAATTCAATATATCACATATTTTTCTATTAGTTACGATCTTATTTTATCACCACATGAAAAATTTATTGCCAAATATTTATTTATTAATTAATAAACAAGATTTAAAAGCTCATCTCAATGAAACTTGAAGATATCCAAATTCTAAAATTCTTTTTTTGCAATAATTACAGGCATGATCCAATAATGAATTTTCCACTAAGTTTTCAATTCAAGAACGATAAATTTATGGTGGAACTAACAGATAGCGTTTATTAGTTTAGCAGAAACGCCGTATCTTGTTTTAGGTGCCTATCTCAAAATAGGGGGCTTTCCTCCATATGTAACAGTAAGCAAGAAACATTTTGGAACATTTTAACAACATTGTAGCAACATTGCTACATGTTCCAAAATATTTCTTGCTTACTGGGAAATTTGTGTGCATATATGTTAAGATTGACGCACGTCGTGCATATGTTTACACTTCAAAATTTTGGACTGCCGCTTTGTAGAAGTATGCATATATGTCGAAAAACGATGACATGTTCAATACATTTTTTTATTAATAATTTATTAATACACAACGAATAGCTAGGATCTTTTGAATGTTACTCAGGATAATGATCTTGATAATATATGTCAAGGTCATTGACTTTTGAACGGACTGACCTTGTGTAAATATTTACATGAAACAACTCTATTGTTATAAAGATTTCACAAGCATAAAGATAAGCAAATATATTTTTTATCCAATAAAATATAATTTTTTAAGTGCACATACCGACAACAATCCATGTCGAATTGGTCAGGAAAACGCAAAATAGAAAGATGCGACTTAATATTATGCCTTGATTTGGCATGCTATTTTGTACTCTTTGGTATTGGTATCTGCAATCATAAGAAAATACAAAATATAGAAATAAAATTAAAAATTGATATATTTAAATATTACATGCAAGGAAAACTATTTTTCTTAATTGTATTACAAATAAGATGGACGAAGAAAAGCGGAATTAATGAAAATAAAATAAAGAAATTTGAAAGAAATAAATTTCTTACAGAAAATAGAAGTAACAAGTTAAGTGTAACACCGTTACTTTCCTTATTGTTATTCTGTTATTAACGATTTTGGTGACGAATTTTTTTGACTGTAATAATAAAATTAGGTCGGAAAGTTACTTGATCTTTGCTCATAACAAGTTGGACAAATCACTCCTTACTGAAAATTAACTCGTCACTTTTTAGTCGTTATTAACGAGGTAAAGCTATTCGTTACCCATCATAAACAATAATTTTTAATAAATAAACGCGTAATGAAGTAATTAAGTTAATAAGAATTACTAGTTGTGGACTCTTAAAATTAAAATAATGTAGAAAGTTAGGCAAATGAGAGTTTGGTGCGGTACTTAATGCATAATCATTGGTTATATGTATATATTAATTATATTTGATTTGCTGTATACACTCGAACGTTTCGGAATCATCCCAGGTCATCCTCAGCAAAATCAACAAAGAAAAAAAATAAAGTTTCCATCATATCAGACAAATCCCTGCTCAGCTTCAGTTCCCTACCACCTTACTCATATTTCCAAATATTTCATCATGGTAAAAAATTGGTAATGATTGCAATGGAATAACAGATGCCTGAAGAACAGGAACGTGAAATAACAATTTTATTACAAAATTAAGCAAGTTTCCATGTCAATTTTACAAAATTTTATACGAGATAAAAATTGTAGCTATGATCTGTATCGGCGTCAGAATCGTTCGAATGTACAGCAAGTCAAATATAATTTATATGTACATATAACCAATAATTGTGCATTAATCACACCGAACTCTCATTTGCCTAACTTCATACATTATTATAATTAAGTTAAGTTTTCTCAAAATGACTTTCCCAATTTTAGCGCACTTTCAGCGATTAATTAAGTATCATAACAGTCATAAAAAATTGCAACGTTATCAAATTGTTGTTATAAAAAGTAATGGGAGAAGTAACAAAATAATAATTCTTCCATTCCTTGATTTCTTATTTATTAACATGTGAGCACCAGCGACACACACCGTGTGACATCGACTACTCTCGTTGGTAACCGACGACACACACCATGTGCCACGGATTTTCGTGATTTCCGGCAAATATTGTTCTCTCAGCCATTTGGATAGTGTTGTGCTCTCAACAGTCCCTCAGGTATGTATACAATATACGTGTGCAATGGCGGTTTACTTTATTCTTAAAATATAAGCTTCGGTTCCTGTGATACACCTATAAAAATTGATCGAAGCTCAATATATTAATAACAAAACAAATACAAATTCAAGATTTAAATGCATATTTCAATTGTTTAAATTAATAACATGAGAAACATAGAACATGTTACTTAAAACATGCAAACATTTAATATGCTATTTTTTATTATCGCGATAATAGAATTAATATGAGAACGTTTAATATTAATAAAGAATAAAAAAATCACAAGTTAATGTATCGCGGAATACTCGCTTTAATTCGTATTGACATCATGTATTCAAATATTTAGGAATCCCTTAAAAAATATGATTGGGAGTCAATGGTAAGATAGTAACTATTAACGTTCAATAACTGCATGTTGATTGACAAGTAGTAATTTTGAGTAATAGTAATGATCATGGGTTCTCAGTGGTAACCATTGACACTTACAAAATACGATTGAGAAAGCAGCTTTGCAATTATTGCAAGATTTTTCAATACAATTGATTCTTATTTTTGATTCCTTATGGTTTGGTTTGATTCCTTTGGTTCTGCTTGCACTGATAGCATTGTCTAAATGCAGATTCAACCAATGTTCATCTTTAGGCACTATGAGCATAATCATTGAACTTTTTCTAACTAATTTTCCAATGTTTAAGATTTTTTAGAAAATAATACTAGCGTTTATATATGTATATATGTATATATGTATATATATATATATATAAAACTTTCTTCTGCAG